ATCCCCGGTTTTAATAATATTTACTCGAGTAAGTTTTTTTCTCTCTTTTTTTCTATACTCCGCTCAATTATATTGTTATTTCTCCGGGATAAAAAAAAAAAAAAAAAACAAAAATAGTTTAAACGATAGTAATATACATATAGGTGTATGTATACGTAATTGCAGCTATCTTAAAGTCGTCTGTGTGTATGTGTACGTGCGTGCGTGCGTGTTTATATAGTTGAGCTGTTTTCTTTCTTACAATACTTTGGTATATTTACATGCATAGGTATACACATATACGACCGACGTAAAATACTAAAAACTCGTTCTTCGCTGCCGGCAAACCACGTCCACAAAGGATTATATTCATTATATTATATCATATATTGGATCACGATTATTCAAAAATAAACGCATATCGACCGTTAATACACACACATACACACACACACACACACACACACACGCAATGTTGCGGTGTACTGCAGTCATTATATTGTCTTTATAGCTTTGTAGTCTTCCGTAAGACTCAAATACACATACGAGAAAATTACAATAATATTATTGTAATATTCTTTCAACACAATATACTATAATATATTCGTATTAGTTATATTGCAGTATGAGTACCCGATAAATATTTTATAACGCGAAAAACTCGCAGCAAAAAAAATAAAATAGTTATGGTTAAAGGTTTGAATACCTATTATAGGTGCAAGTACAGTAAATGAATACACTTTCATAAAACTTGTATGCAAATATAATATAAATATTCGAATACCACCTAAGTGCGAAGTAATATAAGAAGATATAGTATTAAAAAGTTTATAGTTCATAAATACGATTCTGGGAGTAGCCAGGAATGTATTGATTTTACTATGATAAGTGTTTTTTGTGTAGGTGAACAACTCTTCTACTAAGAAATCTTGCTCCAATCAAAAATTGACAACGTGGAATTTTTTTTTTTTACACAATTTTGGATTTAATAACGATCTCAATCGCAGACACCAGAAATTATCACAGAATATTTATTAGCTCTTTTTAAACGACCAGTTAAAATTTTTAAAACTATTCTAGAGATTGTTGAGCTATTTAAAGGTATTTAACATTTTCGAACTTTTTTTGATATTATGGGGATAAAATTGTTATAAAACAACAATTGTACGCTTATCATTAGTATCAGCTCTTTTTGTACTATATTACAAAAACGTTCAACACAAAATTATACTTTTTGTATGTAGGTACCATTGATATACCTACTCCGAAAATCCAAAAACTCCTATTTGTCAGTTTTTAGTGTTTTGACCACGTATCACTGGCCACTGTATGTATAAGTCCACGACTGATTTTTCTATTTTATATTACTACTACATTTGTTCCTGGTTTCACCTGATAATTGAGAAAACTACAAAGAAAACTAAACTCCCCCGTGCACTAACAAGATTAAATTTTTTTTCAAAACCGATGTTATACACTTGAATATTGCACATTCCTTATTGCGCTCGGAAAAAAATTACACACCATGGTAAAACCGGTACATTCCTCGTTACGCTCAGAACCTAAAATAAACTATATCTGCTTATAAGCAGTAGTTGACGTTGAAATGTTGCATGATAGTAATAAATATTAGCTATCGTGATTTACCATTAAAAGTTAATCAAAATATAATCGTGTTTAAGCAAAATGGTGTGGCTACGTGGCTACATGTGTATCGTGTTTACTCCTGGTTAAACGGCAAATACTTATTTATTTTGCGTGATTAATGATTTTTATGTTCGGAGTATAAATCGATATCTGCGAAACAAAATAGTTATCGGTAATTAGGTTACACACAGTGTATTGTCATATTATCAACGCGCGACGGCCAACACCGTTTGCCTTTTCCTATTTCGCCAACACTCACAAAGATTACATAGACAAAAATCATTCGACTCAGTTTCAATTATTCAATCGTTTTTTTTGTGTTTTATTTTACTGTCTGATTTCCAACAAGAGTAAGAGGAAAATGGATTCCCTTACGCACTCGTTAAATTGCTCCGCGTCAGAAACTCAGACACGAGATATTGATTGTTTTGGTAAAAATGTACTCTGTTATGAAACAGATCAAGAATGTTTGTTTTATTTTTAATTACACGGGCGATTGCCCTTTAGTATACATATATAATTTGTACAACATTTAATTATACATGTTATTTGGACAAAATAACATAACATTAAGTTATCAAACAAAATATAAATTAACATAATTAGTCACCAAAAGTGGGGTCAACATTAGCACTAGCCTAATAGGTTCGTTTTTTAAATAATTTGTGGAGAAATGAAGGATATAGAAGGGAATGGCGGTTCTTGTTGTTCTTTTGTTTAGACATTTTTATCTGTTGGGCTAAAAGGGCCGTAACATCAATATGAGTAAATTATTGATTACTACGTTAGTGTTGCTGTGAATTTTTCTATTTAATTATTTATTGTATTTAAATTACCAGCAATACAAATTCTAACACTGCAGTTAATACTAGCTTTTAAGTTATATATAATAATACACCCACACGCGTACACACGTACACACAAACACACATTATGCAGAACACACAGTACCTAGCTCGACAGTATTTATCCGGCTTTACCGACTACTGCAGTTCGAGCTAGCACACCACTACACATCCAGCTGTTCTTCTATATTTTTAAGATCTAGGTGTTAATGGTGCAAAGGAGAGTTAGATGTCCGGGCGCGCGTCATATTATTTTACGCTCTCGGCCCGTCCGCCTCGATTTGGATTTAAATGTCAAACAATAATATTATAAACAGTAATATAAAGCTCAAGTATGCAGATAAATACATTTTTCAAACCTTCTCGCTAACTTGTTCCTGCGTTCGCCCGTGAACTACTACAGACTACTGACGATTATTTTATACCATTATATAGTTTGCTCAAATTTACTAGAAATATCGACGAGAAATGTATTACGTTTCACATCCAGTGTCTACTATCTGCAACCAATTTTGTGGTAAGTGGTAGTATCATAATATTTTAATGCTTATTTAAAATTTTGAATTAATTTAGTTAAAATTAAATTAGTTAAATTAACTTCGCTATAATAAAGTCGATTTTGAAATGTAATTATTAGTGAGCGAAGAATATATTGGTGTTGTTATGAGTTTTTTTTTCTGCCTGTAATAATGTTTTTGACCAGCTGACTTGCTCAGATCATCAAATTCAAGTTTTGCTTTGTTTTTACATTTTTGTTGATTTTTACAGGGCCCCTCGGCACCAATAATAGAAAACATGGTTAATGTTAATCTACTCAGAAACGTATTTCGTTTATAGTGTTTCATCGTTATACACTTGCACACAGTATACAAACTAATTTACTCTGTATTCGACAGTAGCCTAACCGTAAACAGCGTCAACACTATCAACTTTCATGATGTTGACTGTATAAAATATATTAGTATTGTGATTGTCCCGAACTCTCGTATGAAATTACAAAATTATTACTATCACACGCATCGTTAACGTAGGCGTGTGAAAAGCGGTAAGTCACAGAAAATATTCTGTTTTAGAATATAATGCTAGAGTTTTAAACGTATTACTTGTTTAAAAGAATACTGCAACAATGTGCCGCATCATTCGTGGGACGTAAATTTAATCCGACAACTTCAATATAATAGGTACGAGCGTTCGAATGTGAGATTATTAACTCAATGAGAGAAACTTTTTTTTTTTTTTTTTTAAATTTTTAACAATTTAGATTTTTAGTGGGACGAGCGCAGCTATTTATGTATTTTAGATTCGGAGCGTAGTAAGAAATCTATTGCTTTTACTATAATGTGTTTTTTAATAATTGGTTTTTGGTTTTTCTCTTGTAAAACTCTTTTTGAGGACAATTAAAACGATAGTACAAAACGATAATTAATGCGGTACTAACGCAATAATATAGAGAGAGGTTATTCGGTTATTAACATCTTTCGCAGAGCAGTTTTTTTCAAATATTATATAGGTCAAGTAATTTTAGATTTGAAAATAATTAATATCAGTGTTTTTATGTATCGAAATTGCGAATATAAAATTGTATGTAAAATTATTTTTTTGAAATATTATATTTTTCTTATATTTATTTTATACGATGAAAGTTGTATTCTAAAAAAAAATATAAGATTCATAAAAGTTCGAAGCTAATAAACTCCTAATAGCGGAGGCCATAGGCAGTTGCCTATCCTGCCTAATGGTAAATATGACATTAGTTATAATGATATTTGTATAAAAATTCTATAATTTAGAAAGAATTTTTTTGAATTCCAGAGTTCTAAAATTAATGTTTTTTTGAATATTTTTCAAAAAAAAAAAAAAACAAAAACAAACAAACAATTAAAATACAACAATACAAATAATGTACACGATGTACATGATAAGTTTTACTTAGTAGTGAAAAAAAAAGTTAAACTTCATGTAGCCGTTTGTTTTTATTAGCATTTAAACATCGAATTTTGACGAACTTTGTAAAAATTAGCTCATAACATGCATAACCGAATTTCGCTCATTATCATTTTTCGTTAGCGATGTTTTATCATTTCGTACGGACATAAATTAAATACCTAGCTTTATGTGTCCCACCTTCCCAAACAAACGCACGACACGTGCGTTTGTGATATACGGAGATGACAAAATTAGTTACACCGCGATGACGCGCAGTAGCGTCCTCTCAAAACGAAACATTACAGAAATCGATAAAAATAACGAATGTTGTTCGCTATTTGATAGTAGTGTACAAACACTTTGTTCGCCGTCTGGGAGTTCCGTCGACCCGCAGCGCGATCTCCGCTCGCATCTATTAATTATATAGTTACGATTCTCTACACTAATACGCTAACAGTACACAGGTACCTGTATTATTAACGCTTTTATACCTAATACACGAGTACGCTATACCCGTACATTATGTTTTAATATCGTCCGTCTGCGAATTTTCGGGAGACCATAGCGGATTCCCACCGTAAAGAGTAGTTCCGAGTCGTTCGTGGCGGCGCGGCCGCGGCACACCTGGTACTTGTGGGCGGGCACCACGCGGCGGCGGTAAGATTCGACGACTCCGTGTGCCCGACAAAAAACCCATTCCTCCGTCGACGTCCGACAAAACCGCCAGCGAAGACCGCGACACCACGTGTAAAATAATAAATCCCGCGCTCACGCGATTTACGATCGTTTAATGTCCAGCGCTTGCGCTCCGTCGATTTCGTTATTAACGCGATTGTCGAGAAAAAAAGAAGATTTCGACGGTAAACTTAAGTTTTACGGTGTTGTCATGTCCCGTATATTATTATATGGATTTTGATGACAATAGTATTATTGTCATACTCGCTTGATACTCATTGCGAAACCGACGGATGAGTGTGTAACAATATGATAAATGGAGAACGGATCTCTGCAATCGTCCGCTACTTTCAAACTGAACATAATCTCCCGTGAGTACATATATCCACCTATCTAAAAACCGTATAATAAACGCGGGCCGTGCGTTAAACGCATTGAAAAACTATGGTCCCGCGAACTCTTTGGTTCCGGGGAAGATGGGCATAAGTCAACGTTGTATAGTTTTCAATATGAGCGAATTTAATTTTGAAAATTACCAAACGGCATAATATTGGTAAACGATTAAATTGCTAAATAATAAATATATCCCTTTATTTTTTTTCACTAAACAAAAAGGAAATTACAGTGACTCGAGGCAAATCAAGATTTTTAGTTTTCAGTGTAACATGCGTTAGAATACAGTAAGACCAAAAATTAAATGGGCAAATTAGAATAAGACAAATTTATATAAAAAGTAACGCCCACAATTAACTTAAGTCCATCTCCTTAGGGGCCAAAAAGTATGCGCCGAAAAATTACGGAATATACATTAAGAATAAATTACATGTTTTTGAGTTTTAATATACCTTATATGTGAAAAAAATGCACTACATTTTCAAAAATATATTTGGAAAAAAATCTAAAAATATTTGAAATATTACTAATGCAAATGATAATAATTATGATATTATCGCCTATAGTAGGTACTTGTTACCATCAACATATATTTAGTTAGTTTATTAAACAATTATATAAAAAACCTTACATGTACCGGACATCCAAGGTAACAGAAACGAATCTACGCAATTAAAAATCACTCGATCTGGCTTCTGTTTAAGAACCGGCATGTTTCATTTCCCTTCAAAAGGCAGCGGCTAGGTATTATTATATATTGTAATAGCTTTATAGGTAACATTTTGAAAATATTGTAAATAATACCGCTAAAGGATTAAATAACGTCTGAAAAAAAATATACAAAATTGATTTTATTCAAAATATCTATAGATAATACAATTTATGATGAACCTCGTAATAAATTTTCGATTATTTTTGGTGTATCAAAATAATTTTACCTAGTTAAAAATTAAAAATTAAAAATAGCTATAAAAACTTCAACGATTTCCAGTATGGTTTAATATCGTTATCACGCCAAGAAAGGACCAATAAAAATATTCGAAGAAAATTGCAAGTCCTCTCGATTTGCATAGTTAGTATAGTTGGACATAAAAACACGTAGAAATGTACATTATTGTGAAAAATATAAGAAGAACACATAATTATAATGGTGTTGGCTATTAGAATAATTGCGAATAGTACGCGCAATTTCTGATCAGATTTCAAATAGCTTTTCTAATGAACATATTACGTGTTTACACAGGTATAAGTCCGTTTCGAAACCCCGCGATAGAATTTAACCGATCGATTTGGACTCGAGGAAAAAAACGACGCAAATGCAAATAATGCGTACCTTTATTATATTATATAGAAATCTTAGTATTTTATTACGGAATTAACGCGTTATTCCCTTTCTAAAAGTACAACGATCGCCGCGAAACCGTATAAAAATAAAACCGTTTAATATAATACGAAATATAATACGCGATTTGGTTTAAAGAAAAAAAAAATTTATTGCGGGAATACCTATATAGGTACACAATGTTTTACGTTAACATCGTTGACCGAAACGTTCACGGGTCGCGTAATATGTGAAACACTTAGACTGGAAAATAATTGTTTATTAAAAAAATAATCAACGTAATAGTACGAGTATCTAACCAAATGTATAATCTGATTAAATACGTCCATTAATTGGTTATAGGTACCTATTATATTTATTTGTAAAAAAAAAAAATACAAACAAATTGTGATCCAGTGTTATAATAGGTATGCAGCCGTTTAAATCTTTATATGAAATCTATTTTAAATAATATTATAGAAAGTCCGTGTAGTTTGATTATAATTGTGAGTTCTGGTAGAAAAAAAAACATATATAAGTGTAGTACAATCTATTTAATGAAAATACAGAAATAAACTAAATGAGAGTAAATATCTAATTGTTACATAATATATAACTTATATTAATAGGCAGTGCATATTAACGATTTGAAAAGTAAAGTTTAAAGTTTGTTTTAACTTTTGATTTTTTTTTTTTTTTTTTACTCAATTCATTTTATTCACTTTAACTGTTAGATTAAAAAAAAAAAAAAAAATTAGTTAATTTTGAATTTTTTCTTTAACGCGATATTAAATGTACAATTTATCCTGGCTATACTATACAGCTATAATCCGACTGAAATGTTGGCTCATGTTTTTATTGTATTTCTCTAAAAAAAAACCATCTGGAAAAAATCATCTCGAATCTCCGAAAATCACGTCAAGTTGCTCTTTTTATGGATTCTTTTAAAAACCGCAAAATACGAAAAAAATATTTTACAAAACTATCGGTGAAATCAAAATGAAAAAGTTTATAGAGAATTCACCAAAACAGATGTGCTTCTGAGCACATAGAAGTCACTGATATCAACCCAACTGGTTTTCAATGATTCGTTTACGAGTACCTAATACTATCAATCTTATTAATTTTTGATTAGCCCTCATCAAGCTATAAAAGATGTATATATATATATTATGTGATTTGGCAGTTAAAAAATCCAATACTTGTTATCAATATTAATTTAATTCCAAATATGCAAACAAAATATCACCATTTAATTCGACATGACGTGATTTTTGGGTATTACTGATAAAACCAGTAATTATAAATCGCAAAAAAAAAAAACAAAACATGCCAATGCATATCAATTTTAGACCTGTAAATAAAATATATTTTATTTTACAAGAATACCGATATAGAAACCTGTCCAATAACTATATACTCGCATAGATGTTCATAAGGTGATAATTATTATTAGACGCCGTTGACCCGTGTTTAAATTGACTAATAATATTATAATATTGTTAAACGCTGCGGCGGTGTTTTCATACGATCTTTTTTAAAGATAAGAGGAAATCGATATAACCGGTACGAAATCGAACCGAATAAATATTACAATAGGTATGTATTTGCTGTCGTAAGGCAGCGGTTCCTAAACTATTTGTAGGTCGGTGTTCTTTTTTCGGATCAAATTCACCCACGATGCTCTTGCTATGAACGCCACGAGGAACACACGAATAAAAAATTAAAGGGGAAATCTATAATGTTAACGAAATTCCCTTGAGTAAACCGTTTTTGCACATTTCTACGGTTTTCAAGTCGTCTAATGTAGATATTAATTTAAAATCAAAATCGAAAATACATCCACGCGTGCTGCAGCAATCTGCATATACCAATACTTTTTCGTATTAATTCATATAATTTCCATTATCCATAAGCCTATAAAATGTTATTGTACCTTAATCGACTGCAGAAGGAATACGGCCGGTTCGTGATGGGAAATATTTAAATATCGTCTACAATATGGTTTGATTATGGCTTTGAAATATAATTTCTATAAAACACGCGTGCAATATTACGTAGGCATAGTGATAAACGAAGAAGCTATTAAATTTTAAGGTTAGGTCTGAGGCAATAATATACTGTGGCGGCAGTGCGTTTTGTTAGCATAAACCCTAATCGCGTAATTATCGCACGGTGTTTATGGCTCGTTCGTGATCGTCACTCCGACACGCACGTTTCCCGAGCCCACCAACAGTGCCCGAGCCCACCCTTTCGTGTCGTTTACATATCCGTGTTATCATAGTAAAATTCAGAACAGAGAACAATCCAAAATTAATGTCGTGACATTCGACAGTAATCCGAAGAAAAAACAAATCGTTAACGTAGAAAAAAAAAAAAATACAAACCATTTTTAAATCTGTATATATTTTCCCGATCTTTCTGTAAACAAATTGTTCAAATCTTTAATGTTTTTCACACTCCGGTATTTATTTATTTTATAATCTAGCGTAAAACCTATTAATTACAAGATATGTTTTTTTCTCGGAAACTGCTTTCGGTTATAGTAAATGTTCCTGGTTCTTCGTATCCTCTTAAACCTTATAACACTTGGATGACTTTTCGCCCGGTTGTAGTGACTTTATTTGACAATTATTATTCATAAAAAATGACTATTCAGTGGTTTTACTTTTGTTGATTTCCGGGTTACAAGCGGGAAAATATATATGTATACATATATATATACATATATGACAAATAGATATATACATATATTATGTATATATGCTTAATATATTATATAACCTTACATACAATTTACCAAATACAACGATTTACCGTTGCTTTCGGTACATAAACGAAACTTCCTCATGTGCTTTCACGGTCCCAAATTTCCACCTGCCACAGTAACCCAACCAAGGTGCGAAGTATGTCTGACTTTTTTTATTAAATTGCGCAACATTGGTTTTAAAATGACGTTTGCGTTTACCTTTTTTTTTTAAAAATTATTTTTACCAAACTAAAGTTGTTTTTAATAATCTTATAAATATTCCGACTGGAGTTCAGTAAACTGGTGAGGTGTTTTTCCCCGCGTGTTCAAAATAACCTAAAACCAATAAAAATAAAACCGATAATGAATCGTTATTAGTTGTCAGTTTTTTAGTAAAACTGTTGAGAAAATTTTTTCAAATAAAGCATATCAGTTGGTGAAATATCCACATCGTTTTGAAGGTAGAGCATGAAAAAACCTGTGCATTTCTCATAACCAAAAGAATTTAAGTGTAAAAAAAAAAAAACGCTTTTGTATATTTTTTTGTTATTATATTCATGCCTGATTACACCAAATATTTACACAGAGATAGATTCGTTCATCTAGAGTTAAAATAAATTCTATTGATAAACCATGTTTTAAATTTTATCTGTTGATAAAAATGTATGTATAGTTAAATTTCGTTATCAATGTTTTGAGTTGTTGTGGTGATAATAGAAGACATTTGATAATATTAATATTATTATTATTATATTCAAGGTGTTAATTTTATACCTAGATTATATTAACTAATATTACGTATTTTTTTTATTTTAGTAAATTCTTTTCTTGTTTTTCTGACTGAATAATTTAAATTAATAATTAACTTGATTTAAATGATCGTCAGATACATCAGATATGTCTGATGAAAAAATAATTTTAGAAATGTTTATGAGACTTCTAAAACCTAGAGTGATTCGTGACAGGTATAATTCAAACAATTTAGATGATTATGAATTTAAATATTTGTTTGATTTTGATAACGAGTTTTCTGGTAATAACCTGAATATAAAACAATGGTTGAGTAAAACTTTTAAATTCAATACATGTTAAAAATTTAATTTATAAACCGTTAGTTATCATTATATAAATATTTAACTTTTTAACACTAGATTTATCAATAGATAACGACAAGTTTGGTACAACCGGGTATTAGAGTCTAAAAATAATTGATCAAATTTAATTTCAACTCTTATCATTAATTAATTATATTGAATTGGATCAATAATTTATTTTGTATTATTCGTAAATGGCAGTTTTGTAAAGGCACGTGGGTGCCGATAACTGTATATATTACTCACCCTATACACGATTAAACTATTTCCTAAATTGATTTTATTAAGCCAAACCCTTTTTTTTAATTTCGATATTGGTTCAACGAATCGATGATAAATTACTGCTGCTGGGTGAGTTTTTTTTTATTATTATTTTTCGTTCGGTTTTTATTCGGGTGACCTATTAATAAATATTAACGTTATATTTTTTTTTAAAAGTGCCTTCACCCATCGTATAATATATCTGTAAGTTTTACTACTAAACTACTAAAGTATAAAATATCATAATAATATAATCACGTGTGTTTTTATTTTGGTTTTTAAATAGGCAGGTATAATAATAGTATGTTTTTTGTGTAGGTACCTAATTGCAATACCGGAACATATGATTTTATTGCATTATAGTCAATAATAATATTATATTATACATAATTTATTGTACGCATAATAAAATATTAAATAACTACTACTGTATTGTACAACGATAAACTGATAAATGAAACATACAAATATTATTCAATTTTAAACACTGTGTACCTATAACTATATACGATCTATGGCATAATCGCTGCAATATAAACATTACAAGTAGGTATATAATATTATTTTAATAATATTCTAGAAAAAAAAAAACAAAAAACCAGACATGCCTACGTCGATTTCGCGCCATAATATTTATATTTCATGTAGGCAACACTTTTGGACGTACTACAAGGGCACTGCACGCAGATACGGCTATGTGCATTATAATGTATTATGCTGTATAATAATAAGGTATAGTTCTTATTTAATCCAACGGTGCGATTGTAATAATTATCATCATATTTAATGTTATTTAAGAGCGTTAAAAATATTTTGGGATTATCAAACCCCTTTTGGATCGTGTCGTATATTATTATTTATTATACATGAATTATTTGACGTATCATAAAGGCGTCAATAAGGAGTAACAAGGGTATCGTTCTGCTCCCCCTGCCCCTAAAAAAATACTTACATTTTGAAAATATATTGATAATGTCTGATATTTATCAATCGCGTCTTAAAGAAAATTATTCGTTTTTACTGTAGTAAGTTTTGACTTGTAGTATGAAGTAAAAATATCATAGTCAAAATATTTGGTGACTATTTATGTAGGTATACAAAATAATAATATATTCTGCGATAGTGTAATAACGTAAATTATTTTTCTCTATGAAATTTGCTTTTATAAATTATCTTTAATCGCCATAATAATGGTAAACTATGAAATTGGTTGTATTTTGAGTAAAAAGGTGTTAAATATAGGATTACAGATATTAGTGAGCGAAGCAATCAACAAATTTGTCTACTTTCGAAAAATAAGTGGAATGCAAATTTTGTAGTTAATTTTTTTGGTTTAGAATTTTTTGACTAGTGATGCCCATGTAACGTAAAATAAATATATTTTTTTTTAAGAATATTTTTAAGTTCAACAAGTTATTTATTCCATTTATTGACACTTTATTTTAATAATTTAATGACAGATTTATAACCACAGAAATATAATACCTGATTTTATTTTCTCGTTTTTAATCAGTATTACGATTGAAAAACACTCAAAGATTTTAGAGAATTGTATTCAAATTATATTGAACCAGCCGTTATTAAAACAAAGGTGAAAATATGATCCTTTGGTAAAAATAGGGGGTACCTGCATGGTGTTCCGGACGTTCTTCATGAATATAATCTAGAACTATTTTCAAATGTGTTGAAACTCCTTTAGATTTCCGTGACACTGCTTGTTCCATATTGTGAATCCGAGAGAAGTGTTTCTGCATTGAAAATAATTAAATCACATCTTCGAAATTCTATTGGTTAGTCTCAACATTATTGGTTAATCACATTAAATATTCACCACGAAATTGAAGTAACTGTTAAAGATATAATAATTATTATTCATTGTCATTCAATAAGAAACGTCACAGTACTTATTTGATTCGACAATGATAATTTATTATTGCAATGAATTTAAGTACTTTTTTTAAATATATAAAACATATTTATAAATACAATTTATTAATAAAACGGTCTTATTATTAGTGTTATTAATTAAAACTTTCCGTCTACTTTCAAAATGCTAGTTACTCCACTGAGTCTCGTTATTTATACGCACTTGTTAAAAGAGCGTCATAATTGAAAATTCGTCGTCTCTCTATCCCTAATAAAAGCAAACGTAGCAAAAATGCGTTCAAACAAACGAAAATGCCTTTAAAATCGTTTTTAACGATAAAAAAACTATAATAAAATTTTCGGGCGACAATATTTCGCCTGAAATTCACTGTCGATTTTGTTTATAAGTTTATACTGATTTGATGCGAGTATACGTCGTATATTTATGAAGAAATCATAATTTCTCTTGATTTGATTAATTGTACCTGTGCATATAGAACCAAAACATCCGAACGGCCGGCGACCGTTGAATCTGTTCTCGTTCATAACGGCCACGGCGAGAGACGGGTCCCAAGTGACGGAAAAACGTCTGCGAGATATTTCCGAAGAATTAAAGGACAAACTGATAAAAGGAACCGCGTTGAAATGCAAGGAGAAAAATGGTAAATATACTAATTAGTTATAATATTATGTTGACACACGCCTGATACACCTACGTGTTATAATAATATTTCAAAAATACCGGTTTTTTTTTATACTTTTGTACTATGAATATTACGTACGTTCTAGTCGTCTATCCCATCATTCATTTTACCGAGGACCGAAATTCATTGATGTCCGTGTTACAAGATCAAAAAGAATTAAATGAACATTTCAAATTACACGAAGGTGAACAGTTTAATACTTTTATTATATTGTACAGGTACGTAGTTATGTCTTATATGCGTATGAAATCCGGTAAATAATGACGAAAATTTATGAAAAAACCTTACTACATGTCAGAATATTAATCCGGGTGATGAATTGATCACGGCACATATGTATTTGAGTCGAGTGAATTTACGTTTGTAAAATATAATAACGTAGTGATTAATTAAAATGAATCGATTCCAACAGATAAAAATAAAATTGTTCTTAAATATTCTATATTACACAGTCACCGAGTTGAATTAAATTTATTATTTGAACTAGGTATTAAAATTTCACAATATTAATATAAAACGATGATTAAATAAACGTGTCTTACATTTTTAATCAGATAAATTGATAATATTAATAAAAAAAAATAATATTTCTCAATGCTGGGTAACTTAATGGATAATATTAACGCGGATAAGTTAATACCATTGAAAAATACTTAACGAGTAAATACGTTTAAAATTGTTTTATTGATATAGTAAGTAAAGTAAAAAAGTTAATTTGAAAATGTAAATGAATGTATACAAGTTTTTTTTGTTGTATAGTGAGAGTGATTTAAACTAGAATTTTTTTTTTTTGAGAATATCGAATTATTTAAAACTCAGATCTCCACATACATTGAGTAAAAAAAAAAAATTATTAATACGATACTATTTAAATAGGTAGTGTAAGATAGATATTATATTAAAATTAACTGTATAGGTACTGGATAATAAATATACTAAATAGTAACGGTGTAATGGTAGAATTTATAATTTACCTATATACTTTATTAGTTGGTGAAAAAAATTTATCCAAAATAAGTGAAATAAGTTAAATAAACAGAGTACTAATTTAAAAGCTAAATTAAAAAGCAAAATTGACTATACAGCCTTGAAAAATACCTTCTAAGAATAATAATTATTATTATTCACGCGGTCTTATTAAAATGATAAATACGTTCACAGTATTTTTACTTTTTAAAATCTCTCATTTCATTTCGTCATGATAACGTTTCTGAATCGTATAGAATATAATGATGTTTCCGGATGATTATTTATTTATTTGTTTTTTTTTTTTTTTTTTTTTTTTTTTTGTTTATCTCGCATCGAAATCTTTTAAAATCCCCCGCCGTCGAGTGTATTTATGCATTCTCACGCTTTTTTTTTTTTAATTTTTAATGCCACTCGTGAATAATGCGTTATAACTCCATTACGACTTACGACAAGTCAGTCATTTAAGCCCGAGTATTTATTTTTATTGCGTAGAATAGGTTTAGGTACCTGGTTATACAAGCGTCGTATCTACACGAGGAGAGAGGTTTTACACAGACCGTTTTCATACTAAAATATATGTTTTTTTTTTTTTTTTTATAAATAAATAATTACGCTTTAGTCAACGCGTTTGGTTTTTGATTAGCAGGCGTTTACCGGGAAATCAAAAGTATCGAATGCGAAGACGGAAACGGCCCGTTCGTAACGACTTCCGCCAGCGTGTCGTACATTGTTTCAGGATTCAAAATTCTCGACACCAGTTTCGTGGAGGTAACTAAAACATTCAGATTCAGTAATATCGTGTACTATAGGGCGCAGTCTTACACCTGCTCGTGTTTCCTACTGGCGAATATTACTTGTCATCTACAATATATTATGTTCGGGATTTTTGTTGAAGGGTAACATAATTTTTTATTGGTATTTATCGATTTTTTGTTGAAAGAATATTCAATTGTTTAACATTTAGCGATAACCAATATTTGTCTACGTATACCGGGCGATTCATTTAAATGGGTGCACTCAATATTTCGGAAAGTATTAATTTTTTTCGAAATTTGTTTTCTAGAATATTCAAGAAACAAGCAGCTCTACATTTTTATATTTATATTAATTATTGTCACTTTTATTTTTAGGAGTAAAACCATTACTTACTTTTGATTTTTAAATGGCAACCTATATTAAAAAGTTCATAAATAGAAGAAATATTATTTAATATACATTTTAGTGTTTAAATTTTTAATTTCTGTAAAGTCATTTACGAAATTTCACTTTTAATTTTAGATTGGAGGAGAGTAGTGGTGCATTATTAACACGCCGCGCGCCGTACCGCCACACAAATGATACTCCAGTACTCTCCTCCAACCAAAACTTAAAAGTAAAATATCTCCTCAACGGATCGACGGGAATCAAAACCTTCAACACTAAAATGTATTTTAACTAATACTCCATTTATTTATGACATTTTTCATATAGGTTGTCAATTGCAAATCATAAGTAGGTAACGGTTTTACCCTCAAAAAATATGGGTGATCAAAAATAATATACATATAAAATTGTAGAATAGCTTATTTTTTAAATGTTCTAGTAAACAAATGCCGGGAAAAGTTAAAAGTTTCCGAGATAATGAGTGTACTCAATTAAATGGATAACCTGGTACGTAAAGTATTTCCGATTTTAATATTAATATTTTAAAATTAGCGATTGGATCGACTGAGTGTTTAAAAAACGATTAAATGAAAATTTTAAAATACAAAATTGCATAATTCTTCAATTAATTGGGCAGCGATGAAATTTTATCATGTATTCATTCATATTCCATAGATAAACGGATAGTTGTGTTTTAATAAAAAACATGAAAACTCTCATAAATACGAATGTATGTACTTGTATTAATTAGTTTTAATTTTAATTCTTCATAAACGTTGGATTTTAATAACTTAAAATAGTCTAAATTTAACAAATTATCGAAAAAATTGTTAAAAAATACAACTTATGAACAGTAAATTCTGAAAATGGTATTTAAAAAAAAATAATAATAATAATATAAGTAGGTATATAATACCTATACTGTTGCAGTTATTCTGGTAGGTGCCTACACACGCGGCGAGACACCCTGTATTAACACACAATATAACGGTTAAATGGTTTTTGTTAATATTTTTGTATCAAACATCAATCATTCGTCGTTGTATATAGTTTCGTCGCGGCAACATTTGAATTATTACACTAAGATGATTAATTTCAAATTGAATATCAAATTATTACAAATAATAACACGCGGTGTTAACAGCTGGCTGCGTACAACAGTCATCTGATATCCATTACGATATCCACATTTATTTTTTTTTCAAACAGACATTAAATGATGGATATACTTAATGGCTCTATCTCTCTCTTTCTCTCGAAATATAGATCATGTTGTATACCAATATACTGTCTTAGATAATATATTTTTCGATTTATCTTATTAACTATATTTAATAATTATATTACTATTTGGATAATTTTAAACTCGATTTTATTATGAATATTTGATTTATATAGGTAATGATCGAATCCTGGAAGGATTGGACTGGCGCCAGGCACATATACCTCCACATCCCATACGAATTGGGACTACAGAGAATTTCGCTTTTGAAAAAAGTGGCCCCCGATTCGTTGAACTCTTTCACGTACGTTGTACTTGCCGAGTGCCTGAACGTAAACACGGAAGAGAAAAAAGTAAATTAATATTCAGAACCACGATTAAAGATAATATAAATACACATTATACTGGTTGACAATTGAATCGTGATAAGGTGATCATATTATCAGCGAACTTACTGAACTGGAATTGGCACGGACGCTCCAGGTGTAAATAATCTCAACTAGCCGAACTAATAAATAAATAAAATTACAATTTCTCAATTTAAATTTATAAGAATTAGGAAGATGCGCATATATGAATGATAATTATTTATTTAACAACTTAGAATAATAAATCGAATACATTTGTCATATTCTAGTTTGAACAACGTTACAGGTGCTAGTATCTAAATCCACTATAGGTACCAGCTGACTTTTTATAGTCAGTATGGATGATCTTACATCATTCCTCATGTTCCTTAATTTATCAGTCAAGACATCACTGATAACAACCAAATCTGGCCCATCATATCTCATCAACCGACTTGTGAACAAGGTGAATGATTAAGCCATCGATTGTATCATAGATAAATTAAGGAACATAAGGATTACATTGAGCAAGGGCGGACTGGGAATACAAATCAACCACATTGAAACTGGAAATTCAGCCAAAAATATTGAATGTCAAGAGTATAGTAGTATGATCCACAACTAGTATTTATGTTTTTTAGTTTTTAATTTTTTAGTTTTTTTTGATGTTTCCACTCACTTTTTTTTAATTACCTACTTAGTTACAATTACTATAGAAAAAAAAAGTAATAGTAATAATAATTTATCAACCCCAAATAATCCAATCAGCTCAAATTGTTGTCAGTTCAGGCAAAGATCACCCACCCGCCACCCTAGCCAATCCGCTCCTGACATTAAGTAGGTAATAGGACTGATACGTGCAACCGGCAATTTATTATCTTTATTCGTGTATGAAACATAAACAAATTGTACTTATTTTAAATATTTATCATTATAATAATTTGTACAGATGATACTGTTGGATTTCGTTCAACGAATGAGAGTGGAAAAATTCTTATCCGGTTACCTGTCCGTTTACGAGCTCCATAAAACTTGATCGACGACATTAAGAACTCTATGATGACGCGTAATACTATAATTTGACTCTAATATATAGTGTATATTTAATGTCGTTTTTTTTTTTTTTTTTCGTAAATTAAGCTTATGTTATTTTTTTACGGTTTTTTGTGATTCATAATAGTTATATACTGTACTATATGTTATAATATTATTGTGTTGAAACAATAAACCTAATAACCATGTAGATTGCTATTTATATAGTATATAATTGAAATAAACATACATTTTTTTTAATAATTTAGTGTATTTACTTGCTATAGTAAATATAATTACAAATAAATACGTATGTATAGGTTATATCAGGGGCGCATCAAGAGGGGGTGGGGCAAAAGAAGCAGGTGATCCAGGTGGCAAGAGTGGCGAAACTTTTAAGGGAGTCAACAAATGATTCGATAATATCGTTTTCAATATAATAAAAATAAAATATTCAGTTAAATAAATATTAATTATTTTAGTTTACGAATTTACGATGTCACTTGTCGGAATATCTGAAATCGTAATAAAATCTAATATTTGGACTATTAGATACTTATTGGGAGAGAACACTGGGAGTCAATCAAATGTATGGGTACACTATGAGTTTGAAATTAAATTAATAAAGTTGCTATCTAAAAATGTATTTATATCTATTGTAAAATACGATACGTGTTAAATAATTGTTGATGTGTAGTAAGACTCTAGATAGGTAAGCAAATAGTTATTTTGTAAGTATAATAAAAAATTGTTTGGGTTATTTACTTGTAAAAAATAGTGTGTACTGAATTAGGGGTGTCATATTTATGTTTGCTCCCATATACATTGTCACGGCCCTGGGTTATATACCTATATAAACAATACATTGTAAATTTGTAATATTATCATTGTCTCAAAAGTCGAGTTTATTGATTACTCGTGTATTGTTTTCTCCGATTATTTTGAAAGCCTGGTGGAAAATCGAAAAAATGATCTCTTTATAAAGTTGTTTACAGACAAAACAAACACACATCCCTCCCTTTACTCTGCATCTTAATAATATTATATATATTTATATATATTATGAAAACTTCGTGTGTGTTTCCGTAGCAACGTATTGACGAACTTCTTATCGATAAAACATAAAACAATATTATAATATCTTAGTGGCCAGTCTATTTGGTTTGGTTAAAGTAACATTAAAAAAAAAAAAAATGGTATGTATGAAAAATTGTAAGTTTATACTGTAACTTTTATAACTATGATTCATTTTTTCTCAAGGCACCGAAAAAAAAATCCAAAGGAGGCAAAGGGGGCCGGACAAGTGCTGGAATCGTGGACGGCGTGTCCATGGCCGAAATGTCCAGGGATCAACTCGAAGGGTTCGCGGCTCGTATGAAAAAGGAACTCGAACGTGAACGGGAAGAACGGAACTTTTTTCAACTGGAACGGGACAAAGTATTGACGTTTTGGGAAATCACTAGGCACGAACTGGAAGAAAATAGAGCATCGTTGAGGTATGAAATAATATTTATGATTATCGAAAGTAATAATAATATGAGTAATTAATAAATACTTATAATAATATTATCGTAATATTTTGCAGGAACAAAGACCGGGAGATCGAGGATATCGAGGAAAAACACCAGGACGAAATCAAAGTTTACAAACAAAAATTGAAGCTTTTGATGTACGAACAACACGTCCACCTTTCAGAAGTGCAAGTATGCGTATTAGTTTATGGTTTAAATTTTTTTTTACTTACGTCACATCATTTTAACTGTTTGTATAGGCCGAGAATATGGTTTCGTTGAAAATCGCCAACGACGAGCACATAAAAGAAGAAGACGATTTGGTGAAAGAAAACGATGCGCTAAAACAAGAAATCGTGGAGATAAATTTGCGACACATTGAAGAGATCAACAATCTCCGATTGGTAAAATAATATTCAGGATCTTATGACAATCGAATAATACTTCCGTTATAAAATTTCTTTTTCCGGAAAAACAAAATACAGCTCAGGAAGATAATAATGAATTTATTCCGTAAAATTTCCCGTTGTATGTTTTTGAGCATGTTTAACCTTTTTATGATTATTTTGACCCTGTGTGAATTTTAATAAAAAATTTCTACAGAAAATCGTAACTTAGGAAATTTCAATTGTCAAAATAACTGATTTTTCACAAACCGTTTTTGGTATTAAGAGAGTTGTATTACTTAGAGTTTTTTTTACAATAGTAAAAATTCTACGATTTTTCACCTTTTATCAAAAATTATATACATTTTTTTCCTTTTTATTTGAAATATTTTTATTGCAAATTTAATAAAAAAAAAAAAAAAAAAAAAAGGAAGATACAAGTTCAGTACAACAGCTAGAGGCTACAAGATAAAAATAGACTAATACTAGTTCTCTACTATTTAGTTTACCGAATTTCGTTCAAAATCAGTTTCTGATTGAAATGATTTATCATTGCTTTCAATAATAAGTAACTAAATTACCTTATACTCTTTGGTTATTTCACTTTTTAACACTTACATTAAATAATATTGTTATAATGTAATTTTGTTTCAGTGCATTAAGATCTTTTAACAATACCTAAAATACCTATTTCAAGATAACGTTTAATGTTTCCAATGTCTATAGGAACACGCCAGAGTTATGAGACAACTTAAAGACAGGTTTATCATGGACTGTCAAGCGATCGAAGGTAAATACCAGAAACGGATGGAAGACTTGAGGAATCGTATGGACCTGAAGAACAAAGTGGAAGTGGCCGAGACGGAGGCGAGAAAGAACAAGCGGATAGCCGAGATAATAGAAGACCACAACAACGCGTTCAACAATCTAAAAGAACATTACAATGACATAACCGTTAACAATCTGACGTTAATCGGTAGTTTAAAGGTTTCGTATACTATATAACATATTTTATTGTACCACGTCAACTGTACGTAAATATTATTGTTGTCCCACGCAGTGTTTTGTATTCGAAAAGAAATCTTCTAACCGCCGTCGTGTTATTATGTGTACCGCAGGAAAAGTTATTAGAACTGAAAGAAGACCAACAGAGGGCGGAAATGGGCTTAAAAGAAGTGACAAAAGAAAACGAGTCGTTAAGAGGCCCGTTAAACGAAGCTCGAAATACCGTAGAAGAATTGACGCAAAAAATGGCCAATTACATAAAGGACAAACAACGATTGACGGCAAGTTTATCGCACATACTTAAAATATTACAAGAGTGACGAGAAAATGTCGTATATAACGAATTCTTCTGAGTTTTTCAAATATTTCTCGTGCTCGCGGCATATTAAGTATAATATTGAGAAATGGTTTTACAAATAATATTTCGTTTTTCGACGATTGATCGAATTACAACGTAATAATGTCTTTAACATTCGAGTGGTTAAATATTTCAAGTACGCGTCATTTAAAACTATTGATTCTTACATTTTATTTCCAACAGTCGTTGAGTAGCGTTCGAAAATAAATCACAAGTACCAAATCAATTATTATTAATTTGTTGTAAAATATGAACACTTTCCTGTGGCAATAATATTATCACGGTTCAATAACCGTCCGGAGTTATACTTAATAGATGATTTTAAATATTTTTTACTAATGTCTCCACAGGTCCTCACCAAAAGATTGAAACATTCGATCGAGAAATATAAGGAGCTCCAGGTGAATTATGACGAACTGAAAATGATTTCTGAAAAAGTAAAAATTGCGTATGATATTAAATTAACAAGCGAATTTATCTGTATAAAATATAGTAACCGTGTGTTAGATGCAAACCGACTTGGATAACACGAATGACGAGTACACGGAAAAATTAATGCGTCTGCAGATGGAACACGGGAAAAAATTGCTAACGGTCGAACATCGACTGAAACGATCGAGAGACGTGGTAGAGGAAAAAGAAGCGCAAATAGCACGTCTGACGGCGGCCACTTCAATGGACACGTCCATTGCTATGGCGATGAATGTAAAGACCGAGGTAAATCATTTACCTATTAATTTTAATGTTGTAGAAGTGTAGAATGAACTGTATTTACAAAATAAAGATTTATAGAACACGAGCAACTGAATATAATAATAATGTTCATATTCAATTGTGAAAATTGAGCGTGTAAAATGATTTCTGGCTTAGGGTTGAAAGTTGAAATCCTAAAATGATTCATTATTGGTATTTGGTTTTTTGTACCGCCGTACGTATATAACATTATATCCCCTGGCCTAAACTAAATAATCTAGGATAATTTCTGGAATTTAGTCCTGCACAAGAGTTAATAAAATATACCTAATGTATAATATAATAGGTCGCAGTAGCGCAATGATCCCCCCCCCCCATAAAAAAAAATATGTTTGTGAGTTTTTTATGAATTCTGCGTAGCACTTAGTTGTATGATTCGTATACTGATTTGAAATATAGTGTTATAACACCGTGTATAATTAATAAGTGATAATAGCTACGGCGCGGTTTCGGTTATAACGGTGGAAACTCGTTCGCGCACATATTGACATATTTTTTAAATTTACGATAACTCGTTCGCGCACAAAATTGTAAACAATGGAAACCTGCAGTTGTAGGTATAGTTTTGGGTGTACATGGTGTCTTAAAGTATATGTGGTTCAATAGTGGTTTCCCATCAGTTGTCAATGTTGTCATCTGTCAGTAATACGTTATAATCGCTCTTTATTTCTATTTTTTTTAATCTAACACTATTTTTTTTTAAAATTCCTTTGAAAAAAAGTTTCGTTTGTTCGCAAATTGTGCGCAAATGAGTTGCAGCTGGTTATAATTACAAGTCGGGTAGCTACAAGTATAATAATATAATAATATTATTGTGTCATTAATTCAATGGTCTATGTTAATAACTTATTACAAACATTTTCAACGTGTAGTTTTATGTTATCAGCGTGATTTTATTATCAATAGATATATCAGTATAACTAGATGGCAGATACTATTAATCTTAGACTGTAAATTATTATTATTATTGTATCATAACTTATGAGTAAACTATATTTAAATACATAATTAGTACTTGTCTAAATTGTTTTCCAATATGAGTTGTCTATAAATTAAAGTTAAACAATTTAAAGATTTTAATCATAAACTAAGTTAACCTTACCCCCCTCACCCTGTCAAACACCACCCGAAATTGAACTTTTTTCAAATTCATAACCCCGACCCCTCTCGAAAATACATTTTTGTTGCGCTACTGATAGGTCGTAGATCCGCTTGCAAGAGAGGTAGCTGCCCACCCTGCCACCTTTTAGGGCTGTAAACAAGCTTGTAGTTATAATAATTCCTTAGAATTAAAAAACAAAAATTAAGAAAATTAATTTATGATGATAAGTTATCATTGATTAATAAATGTTTATTTTAAATTGTTTTTAGTATGCTTACAGTAGCTACGGTTAATTATGTTGTGTCATCTGTGATTTCAGGCACTCTTGGCCAAGAAAAACAAACAAATTGAACAGATATGGAACGATCTTACAACTGTGACGAAAAAGTATAACGAGCTGAGCGAAAATTTTAAATGCACGCTACAGAGTCACGGGATACAATACGAACACGAAATTTTTGAATTGGTCACCGCCAAGAAAGACGAATATTTCGAAAACGTTTGATTTTTGACACGCGATAACATGACGCGGTCGTTTAAACACGTTTGTTTGCCTATACAGATGTATTCAAGGCGTTCCGGTCTAATCGATAAGTCGTAATATTTATTCAACTAAACCGCTCCACAAACTCACAAATTCATAAAAAAAACGGCTCAGCTTTAACAATTTTAGCTCTGAAAGTCTCGATATATTTTGTACGACTAAGTTGTTATATTTTGGAAAATGTGAATATCTAATAAACTATTTTTTGTGTATAACTGAACTAAATTTCCGAAAAACTGGCCCTTAGTTAAAGACCATTTGTATACATTAATCAATAACCATGTTAGATATTTAAATTTTTTACAAAATACAATAATTTAGCCGTACACACATCATGGTTTTCCGAGCTAAAATTGTTATACTTGAATGTTTCTGTAGAGTGTTTTTGTTGGGATATCAATTATTTATTGTTTATTTTTTTTTTTTTATCGGTATGACAACTACAATGTATAATGCTATGTACTCATTGGAGTTGTCATGGCTAAATAAAATCGTTATTTAGTCCAGCATGGTCGTATCCGATTTATTTCAAGACACTATTTCAATAATGTATTCAAAATATAAGGTATTTTAGGAACTTGTATTTTGGTATAAATTCGTCAAAGTTGTTAAAATCGATTTGCACTTTCGGCCTACCATTTTACGTGCCACATCTATATTTTAATTAAGCCGTTTAACCGTTTTGATTGTTTTAATTACACGTGGTCTCATGTTAATAATATGTACAATTTATATTTCGGTCGGTTTGCCTTGTTGTTGCCATCGTTTTACGATGTTATGTTTTTATACTTTGCGCGTCTTTGCTTGGTAGTAATAGTAAAAAATATTTTTATGACACAAAATAAAAAAGAACAAATCTTCATCGATTTACGAAGAGAGTTAAAATGACTATAATAATAAAAAAAAATATTTTTAAATTTGCAATACAATAATTATTATGAAAAAATGATAACCATTATAATAGGTATTTGTATTAATTAAGCGCGTTACCTAAATTAAGTTTAAACATTTATTATTATTTTTTTTTTTTAACTCAATAAATAAACAAATGAAAAAGAAATGTTTAGCAATAATAATTATTATTGTTAAAAATGTTTTCGTAAAATATCTACGGCAGCGCGATCTATCGGTATAGATATGACACATAATACATTCGAGTTTGAAACATTCTCCACTAGTATACCGGTGTGCCTATTTTATTGCAATAAATATTGATATTTAGAGAGACTTTAAATATCACAATGATCGATAGTGCTGTAATGCTTGGTAATGGAGCGGGATCAATATTTTGTCATAAGAACATATTATATTATTTCATGAAATTTTTTTTTTTCTGAAATAATTATACTTCGTTATTTAATTTCTTTGGCTTTAAGTTTATCGATTTCTGATGAAGTGGGCGGCGAATTTCCCGGCGGTTATTATGACAACGAATTTATACGTTATTGAAATATTACGAGATCGGCGAAAACGTAATTAAAATCTAAATGCAATTAACATTAACACTGCACTTCTGTTCGATATCGCAATAAATAAATAATATTGCATAACGGTAAAACACGTTTACACGATTTGTTTGGTTCGCGGTTAATCGTATAATCGTGATTATCTGTTTTCTGTACCTATATAGGTATTCGTAGGTGGGTTCGAAACTAATTATTATTTGAATCGATAAGAGTATTCTTATTTTTTTTTATATTTATATAGTCATACTATGCGCACGTTGGTATTAAACTTTTTACTTTAAAGTTACGCACGGTAAACGGTCGTGCAAGACGGAAACAGTAAAAAATAATTAAATCCGAAAAGTCCTAAAAGTTAAATCCCACGTGTATTTATGAACTATTCTATAAAACGGTAATACGTGACGGACGGAATTGTTCGCAGGTCTCTCGGAATTTCATTTCAGTATTATTTGTCACCGTGTTATGATAAAGGACCAAAATAGGTTAGTTCGCATCGTCTTGTCGCCACAGATACAAAAATAATATTATTTTTATTATGTTCAAACGAATCTTCGCGTTTTGACGTGAAATTACTGTAATCTCTCGTCAGATGAGTGAATATTGCAACATTCACACTGTACGCGTAGATTGGTAAAACAGTTTTTAGATTTTGATCTAATTTTATTACGATGTGTCTGTAAACAACATTTCTATCAGAAATATGGATCCAATCAAAATTCGTACGGAACTTTTTTGTATCTTGTATCTAGTTGTTGTGCATTGAAGGAGTAATTTTTTAAATTTTCCTTACCCAGTTTCCCGACATCTTAATAAATAGGGAAAACTGACAATCGTTGTTGATTTCAGGGTTGTCTTAGTATCGTAGGAAAACAACTTCTACCAATAATCGGCTCAGAATCGATTTTTATTAGCGATTGTCTATCGTCGCATACATTTATACATTGAATTACTCAATATGTATCATTCCTAATCTAACCTAACCGAACCGCGGTACACCTATGGTCGTGTTAAGCCATTTTGCATTCAGGTGCATCGATTTTTAAACGTCCCTCTTAGTCTTATCTGGGTACGATTTGGGATAATAATACCACCTAAATTTGTTGTTTTTTTTTTTTACAGTTTCATTAAATTCATATTTAAATTTCAACATTAGTTTATCTCCACCAAAAATGATTCTTCCTTACTCCTGAATTTTTTTCTACGCACACGTCGTTGTTAAATAATATTCATTATTTAGGTATAAATAAAAACTAACAAATGACATAATAATAGTGAAATTGTCAATTTTATTTCGAGTTCGATATTAAGCCGGACATCGCGTGGTTTTAATTAGACTGGCGGTCCGGGGAAAGTGCCCCAATCGCTTCCTCCCTTTATCACGGCACGCCTATCAACAGAATCGGCCTTTTCTTTAAAACAATAAATTGCATACCATCCGCGTAACATTTCGACACAGACATTATTTTCCGAACGGGTACGATTTCCGCGATATTAAATACGAATACTAAAAATGACGAAATTCACTGCAAGATATTGTTACGATAATATCGCATATCCCGTATGACTAATCGCTTATGGTAGGTGCTCACGGAGTTTTTCCATAAAAAGTGTGTAACTTATCTGTACATAATATCTACTCTACATAATGTATTTTATTATTACTATAATTACTAGTTACTAGTTTATGACATCACGCTTTTTGCTTGGTTACGTAATTCGTATTAAACATTAAGTGTATATTTTTTTAAATATTCTATATTGTCGGTCCATAATTATGCACGTTTTCCGCGTCTGTTAAAATATCATAATGCGCAACACACAATTTTTTATGTAAATACCTATACAAAATTCAAAAAAAAAAAAATAAAAAATTTTCCCTTTTTCTCGGTTTTTGTTTTTCATTTTATTATTATTATTATTTTTTTTTTTTTCTATAAAAATATGTACCCGACGACATCGATTGTTACGTTTATTTATTTCCGCAAAGATGAGAGGTTATTATTACAATACAACGGACACGACGGACACAAATGGTGCGACGGTCTCTATTTTCGGCGAGAGTCCGAGAAAAACGGAATTCGGAAGGAAAAAAAAATGAATACCGCGAGGGACGCCGGACGGTAAAACGAAAAGCACCGAATCGCCCGTCCCGCCGCCGGACGGACACGTCTCGGAACACGCGCGCCCGCGGTCGTAACCGCCGGACACCACGCCGCGGCGCGCGCGCTGCTACGGCGGCCGTCGAGCGGTAAGGTAATAATAATAATAATAATAATAATAATAATAATAACGACGATAATGAAAATATTATTATTATTACCGTATTGTTGTCGTACGATTATTATCGGGCGTCGTGCGCGCTATCGATCAATGTGATATTCCGGCGGCGGCGGCGGCCAGTACGGACGTTTCCGGCGGAAATTTCAATTTGTCGGACAGCCGCGGCGGCGGCGATCGGAACCGATAAACGATCGGCCGCGGCGGCGTCTCTAACGGCCGTTATAATTGTATTCCGATACCTACGTACACGGCCGCACAACGATAATGTACATTTTTCGTTTTGGGTTTTTTTTTTTTTTTTTATTCGTAACAATTACAATATCACTCATATTATTGTTGTCTAACCGATCGTGTCGCGTCGATTATTTTTCTTCTCTCCGCTCCTCTTCACCCCCCCCCCCCCCNCCCCCCCCAACACACACCGCCCCCGTGTGTATATAGGTATTATAGACGGGCACGTTTTTTTTCCGTTTCAGTTTTTATGCCGCCGATTGCACGCCGCGTCACCTCGACCGTCGTCATTGTCGTCGTCGTCGTCGTCGTATATTATAATACCGGCCGGGTACCTATTAGTACCGGCCGCGTGTACGCGCGCATTATTATAATATACGAGTCTTAGAATACCGTATACCAGATACCGTGATAGTAATATTATAGCCGCGTGTCTCGAGAGATCTAAAAAGATACGCGGGGACCAGACCGCACGGTGTATACCGAGGTCAAAAGGCGTGCACGCGTATCGTACTCCCCCGCTCGTCAGTCATCGCGGAGAAGACAAAACGTACATTTTTTTTTTTTTTTTTTTTTTTTTTAAA